ATTAAGAATTCCTCATATCAATGAGATCATATGATACATTCTTGAAGGCACAGCAGGAAATTCACCTCATTTGCAGGCTACACTCCTTTAACACTCAGCTGGAGAGGCTAGACACTACTAGAACATCAGAGTGATCTGTGTGGCTTCTTGGGGGACCCTAGAGCTGTTCCGGCACGGAAGCAGGAATAAAGCCCGAGAGATGAAGTCAAACCACACTTCCCGCAGTGCACGTGTGACGCTCTTAGTTTGGAAATGCATTCATGCAGCCACCGTATGGTCCCGATTCCAGCTTTCATACTGCAGAGGACATTTTTAGCTCAGGATATAAAGGGCTGGGGAATGCATCGGAACATTTTTAGACCATAAAGAGGAAGGAAGTACTGATGATGCTACAACATGGATGAACCTTGGAAACACGCTACGTAAAGAAGAACCAGTCGCACACACACAAAAAAGCACCCCCAAAACCAAAAAAAAGAAACACCCCACATCCTGCATGATTCCATTTATATGAGATGTACAGGAGGCAAATCCATAGAGACAGAAAGTAGATTGGTTGTTGGGGGGCTGGGGGTGGGCTGGGGGTGACAGCTGAAGGGTGCAGAGTTTCTTTGGGGATGACGAGAAGGTGCTTAAGTTCACTGTGGCACTGCCTCCACAATTCTGTGAAAAAAATTAAATCCTGAGACTAAAATAAAATTCTAGAACCATTGATTTCTATGCCTTAGGAGGTGAACCGGATGATCCGTGAATTATACCTCATTAAAGCTGTTACAAGAAGAAAAAGGTGGGGATATCTGGCAGGAGAAGGGGTTTCCGCGAGCACAGATATCGGGTTTTTCAAATACTGTTCTCTTTGAGCTCCCTTGGCTCCTATGATCATTTCAAAATGAACAGTCCACATGTCAGGATGACAAACCAGAAATCTACCGTACCCTTCGAGAATCATTAGTGCCCATTCTCTTTTAGGCAGCTCTATAAAATTGGACTCCACTGAACCAGGCATTTCATTTCCTTGTTTGAAGACGCTGGGAAAACCAAGTCCTGCTGTCATGTAACATTTTTAACTGTTTTCGGGTAAGCATTTGATCTGTTGACTCACCGCTTGTGGGTATGCAGATAAAATGGCTGTTGGCGGCAGAGAGAGTCATTTAGAGCCTCAAACCAAGACTGCAAGGCGAAGCGGTAGCCAAGCAAGACTTCTGGGAGCTTGCGTAATGTACCTATAAACTTCAGAGCCTCCTAAGCACCCAGGTTAAAATCACTCTTCTCCCATTTGCTTGTTCTTTTCCTACTCTTCCCATTTGCTGCCAATCTGATCGCTAAAAGTACTTTCAAAATGAATTTTGACATTGCTTCTTTAATATGAACATCATAGATAGGAATAAAGGATTAAAAAAAAATGTACTCTGGAATATCTGGGATGACAACACAGTTTCGAGTAACATCATTTGGTTTGTTGCATGAAAAATGCCTTTTGCTCCCATGATCACCTCCCAGAGAGGCAGGGTCTGTGTCCTTACCACACGCATAGGCGACAGTGAGGTATTGTTTCACTCCTGGCAGACAGGGGCTCCCAAAATGGTGATTGTTGACCATGACTTTGCATCTCTGCTTCCCATAGCACCTCCTGGATAATTCTTGCAAAGCCGAATAAGACAGGCAGTCTGAAAGGCAGGGAACGTCAACAGGAATTTTAGGCTGCATCTGTATCTGGCTGGCCGCACAGCTTATGCTATTTTCTGTAAGTAAATACACTGGGCTGGGTTTCCAGTCTCATGGAGATAGTTTCTCGGATAATTTTCTATCTCATTAAAGTACCCAAGATGCTTTCCCATATAAATCATATGGGCTAAGTCCCCTATAGGCAGAGCGGGCTCCATGACATGTGTTAGAAGGGCCCTGAGCTTACCGTGATGCTCCGCTGTCACCATCTTGAAACTCTTACATATTTTTGAGCAAGGGGTCCTACATTTTCATTCTGCATCAAGCCCCACAAATTACGTAACTGGCCTTGTACACAGAACAGGCAAAATATGTAGAACGCTGAATGAAGATTCTTTCTTTTATGCCCCTTACCACGCCTTAAAATATTTTATTTGCCATTTATTTATTTTTTTTAAGGGAGAGAGAGCACGCACACGTGAGTGGGCGGGGGGCAGGTATAGAGGGAGAGGAAGAGAGAATCTTTTTTTTTTTTAAGATTTTATTTATTTACTTGAGGGAGAGAGAGAGAAAGCACACAGGGAGGGGGAGGGGTAGGGGGAGAGGGAAAAATAGGCTTCCCTGTGAGCCAAGAGCCCTACTTGGGGCTCGATCCCAGGACCCTGGGATCATGACCTGAGTTGAAGGCAGACATTTAACCGATGGAGCCACCCAGGTGCCCTGAGGAAGAAAGAGAATCTTAAGCAGGATCCACACTCAGCGTGGAGCCGGATGTGGGGCTTGATCTCAAGACCCTGAGATCATGACCTGAAATCAAGAGTTGGACGCTTAACTGACTGAGGCACCCAGGCACCCCATTTGTCTACTTTGAGAATCCATCTCCCCTGTGTGAACATAAGCTCCAAGAGGACAGGGACTCTTTCTGTCTTGTTTGTCATCAAAATCCCACATCCTGGCCCAGTGTCGAAGCCCAGTAAATAACTGATGAATGAATGAAATGAACTCATAAACATGAGGGTATGTTTTTCAGCACCTGGCACAACGCCATCACAATTAGTAAAGATGAATTTCACATGTACAGAGCTGAGGTGCGGAGATGCTATGTGCTGAAAGGAAAAACAAGTCAAAGAAGTCTACCTTGCATTCACACGATGTGCTGGAGCTAGAGACAAAACCCACACATGGGACCTGATGTCTAACAATGTGAAACAGGGCATGAGCATCAGCAGTGCGTGGCCAGGACGAGAGGTGCTGGGGTCAGAGTCGGGAGAGATCAGTGTGGACCAGCATGGTCACAACAGGCTTTCTAGGGCAGAGGGACTTGGTCACAGAGAAAGTGCATGAATTGGGTAGGAGCAAGCAAGACAGAAAAGCACGAATACCAAAGTAAGGGGGCTAGCGTCACTTCAGGGGAGGCCAGGGGGCTGACTGTGAGCTGGAATAGTGGGTATGGACAGGGAAGCCACAGAGAATGAGCAGGAAAAGGAACCTGGAGAGAGGCTGAGCTTGCCTGTGAATGCTTAGCCAAAGACAGACTTTATTTTTCAAGCATTTTTTTTCTCCTTCAAAGTAAGTGTAATACAAAGGACGTAAATATCTCTAAATCAAAAAAGTGCTTTGTCTAACCTACTGGGTGTTGGTAGAGAACGTCATGGAATGAAAGCAATGACAACAGCTTGACTTCAGATGGAACTGGACTATTTAAAATGGGGTTTCCAGGAAAAATAGGCACTGATTTCTAGAAGGAAGTTCACTCCTTACTGAAGCTATTCCTTGAGCCAATATGGCTGGTTAATGTTTTCATGAGTACAAGTACCCAACGCAGGATTCTCCGACTTCACCAGCTGAGACCTAAAGAAATGGCCTGATCCTACTGTCCTTTACGGACAGTGTATGGGAGGCCCCAGAGAGAAAGGGAACCAAACTCAGCTTGGAAGCAATGGGCGGGGTGCCTGTGGGCTCAGTTGGTTGAGTGTCCGACTCTTGGTTTTTGGCTCAGGTCATGACCTCAGGGTCGTAGGATTGAGTCCAGCGTGGGGCTCCTTGCTCAGTGGGGAGTCTGCTGGAGTTTCTCTCTCTCTCCCCCTCTGTCTGACCCCCACTATCTAAATAAATAAATACATACATAAATACATAAATAAAATCCTTAAAAAAATAATACACACTGGAAGGAATTAAGAGCTTGGAGAGCAGAGAACAGAGGAGAGAATTTTAGAGACCTTACAAAGTTCAGTTCACTTACAACAACAGCTAACATGACAGGCTATTCTCAGCACTTGTCCATCAACTGATATGGTATGTTCCCAATGCTCTGTGACATGGACTGTTTATCAGATATGTAATATATATATTATAATAAGTTATATATAATAGTTTGTATATATAATATATAAATCAGGGGCATACAAATTAAGGCCACAATGAAAATAATATTTTGCACTTTCTAGATCAGCAAAACTTAAGAAGACTGACAATCCCAAGTGTTGAAGAAGATACCTATCAATGGAAACTCTTGAACATGGCTGGTGAGAGGGTAAACCGACTCTAGAACATACACTGACATCTTTTAAATTGACACATTTCACATCCTCAGACTCAGCAGTTTCATTTCCAAGAGTCTATAGGCTCACCTAGCCTTTCTCTAAACCCTTCAGAATTCACAGTCAAGAGATCTGAGAATGGGATGTATGATTTCTGCACTGGGAAGAAGTAGCTGTCTGAGTTAATGAAATTATTCTTAGAAGTCTGACGTAACTATTGTTTATTCTGTTGCAAAGGAAATACATGTTTGTAGTTGAAAACTCGAAAAGCACAGATAAGCCCAAACTAGGAAAATAAAGATTCCCGGTAAATCCGAAAAAAAAAACCAAACCAACAACAACAAAACCATTAACCTTTAAGGAAACTCCTTCTGGCCACCTTTCTGTGTGTGAATGCCTTTCCCCCTAATGGTGTCATATACATATCACTTTGTAGGCTACTTTTTCCCATTTAATATATCTGCACAAATTTTAACATGAACATCATTTTAAAGAATTGCATAGTTTTTCATCATATGGATGCGCCAGCTCTATTTACAATACCCGATGCAATCATCGTTCAGATGATTTCTGGTTTTGAACATTAGAAGCAGTTCTATGTGGGGGCGTCTGGATGGTTCAGTCAGTTAGGCATCCGACTCTTGATTTTGGCTCATGTCATGATCTCAGGGTCCTGGGATGGAGCCCATGCTCAGCAGGGAATCTGCTGGAGATTCTCCCGTTCCCTCTGTCCCTCCCCCAACCCACACTCTCTTTCTCTCAAATAAATAAATAAATAGAAGCAGTTTTATGTGGAACATCCTTAGAGCTACATATTTGCACACAAGCACGATAGTTTCCACAGGAATTCTTGGAAGTAGATTGCTTTGTCAAAGGCTACTCAAAATATTAAGGCTTTTGATACACACCGCCAAACTGTTATCCAGAAAAGTTCTTCTAATTCACACTCCTGGCAGAATTGTATGAGTGCCCTAGAAACCTTTTATTTCCTTAGGGTGTGTGCCTGACCATATTCTTTAAGGCTAACAGAGGAAGGAAAAAGAAACCCCTCTCATTTGTAAGACCACAACCCTCTTTGACCCAGGAGGTCTTGTGACGAGCATAGAGGCATGCTTCTGCACTCTTAAATTACCCTGGGAGCAAAAGAGTTTATCTTGGTCAGAGTGAAACCCACAGTGTGTTTTCAGGAAGAGGCCCAAGGTAATTCAGGTCAGACTCAAGTCTGACTGTATCCTCGTTGACGCTGAGCTCTGTACTGTTTGCAGGATTTTTTTCCCCAGTGATTATCTCCCTCCTAGGCTGATTTTGTTTGCACCCTCTCTTCCTGGCAAACTATCCTTCACCCCCAATCCATCTGATAACACGATATTCAACCATTTAATTTTTATTTTTTTAGCTATTGTTTAACACTGAAACTGAAGTTAATTAATCCTCACAAGGTGTGTTTATTTTGATAATTAGGCTGCTCTTGGCAGTGGGGGCCCCTGGCACCTTAATCTTTGGCTGGGAAGTCGAGGCCCACCCACACTTGGCTTTGCCATGGCCTTAGCCCAGACCTTGAGGCCCACTGGGTGGTATTCTCATTCTCTTATTGAGGAAACAGCAGGATCCCTGGAGCCCACCCAGAAAATGTAACTGCAGCAGGAAATGACATGTCACAGTGGATGCCCAGCCAGGGGAAACTTCCTGAAGTTCATGCCCAGGTCTGTGGGAAGGCGCACCCCCTTCCGTGTTAAGATGTAGCTTCACTGGTGTTCACGTGGGGCCAACAGTGATCGATCACTTTCATACTTTCCTTCTCTTTCACTCGACAAGACAAAGGTTCGGACGGATCTGACTTGCTGGATGCTCTTTCAGGCGTTCTTTGAAGGGTCAGCACCCTCAAGATAAGACACCAGATGTAGCTCTGTTCGGAACTTGTGGGACAAACAGATGTCACTTTTTGGTCTCACAGCTGGCTTAGTCATTGTCTTGTGCGTCTTCCCTTTTATTTCATAGTTGAGGGTTATTTCCAAGTATTCGTTTGCTAGGGTTGCTGTAACAAGTACCACCCGCTGGGAGCTTAAAGAGCAGAAATGTATTTCCTGTCTGTTCTGGAGGCTGGGAGTCCAAGGTGTCTGCAGGGTTGTTCCTCCTCTGAGGTCTCTCTCCTGGGCTTGTGGATGGCTGTCCTCTCTCCGTGTCCTCGCGTGGTCTTCTCTGTGTGTGTCTGTGTCCTAACTTCCTCTTCTTATAAGGACACGAGGTATATTGCATTAGCACCCGTATGACCTTAATCTAACTTAAACTCCTCTTTAAAGACCCTCTCTTCAAATACAGTCGCGTTCTGGGGAGCCGGGGGTTAGGACTTCAGCCTACAAATTTTAGGGGCACACGATTCGGCCCATAACAGCCTTCAAGATGGCCCCTAATCATCTTCACTTTCTGGAACTCACACCCCTTGTGTACCCTCCCCCCACAGT